TTGTTGTAAAGAATAAAAAAAATTTATTAAAAAAAAAAAAAAGGAAAAAAACCAGTAACATCTTATTATAGTTATTGTAATTTATAAATCCTTTTTTCCTTGATTAACACTGTGTATACTGTTCTATTAAAGTTGGTTCTGTTGTTTGAATATAATCATTCAGAGCAGTAAAATTTGCAAAAGCTTACCTTGTAGAAGAGACAAGAGCCTAAAAATGTATACATTCGTCTCACATCATAGTAATCTTCAGACTGTAAAAAGAAAGATAATGATGTAAAACTTTTGGATTTTAGCTGATCCAACGTTTATGTAGTCTTAGAATAGTCTAATTTTTAATTTTTATTTGTAAGATGCCCAGATTCAGGCATCTTATAAATTGCTTGTCTAAATCTCCAACAGGACTCTGGGTGGCTTATATTCCCTTCTTACAGTAAGAAGATTAAAACAATACAACAAAACAAGTCAACAACTAGAAGCTAAAAATTTACAAATCTCCAACTACCCACCCATGCTGCATATAATTGATACTGTCAATAAGCAATTCAAATTTCATTATCAAAAGCAATATGGCTTTATAGAATCCTTTGTATTAACATTGTACAATGTAACTGTCTGACCACTGTCCTCACCATTAAAGTGATTTCTTGCAATATAGATCATGATATTCATAGTGATAGTACTTTTGTGTAATAGAAGCCTAAAGAGATTGATAGGAGTGAAACTATTGCAATTATTCTGCAAAGTATATTCTGTTGAACAGAAAGTATACATATATATGTATATACATATTATGTAGTTATATGTATTATATGTGTGTGTATGCACACGTGTGCACACACGTATATATCATACCATATAGAACGCATACCAGTTTCTGTTCATTTAAAGAGTCATTGAAACATATAATTTGATGGTATCTGCAGCAAGATTATTGTATGCACAACGATGGAACAATAATGAAATCCTCACAGTAAAGGACTGGATTGTGAAAATGTCAGAATTCGCAGAAATGGCAAAACTGAACTGTTTGGTCAGTGAAAAAACAACAAAAACTTTTCTGAAAGACCGGAAACTTTATATGGACTTTTTGCTGAAAGAAGAAAAAAATGAAACAATGATTTATGGATTTGAAGATTAAGACAGACTTGGATTAAATGAGGGGCTGAAGGAACTATATGGTATCAAAGAGGGAGCAGGGACAATAAGATTCTAACTATCTGATGAAAAGAAGTTCGAAAGTCATTCATATATTTCTTAACTTTAGTGGTTTTCCTTTCTCTTGTTTCTTTCACTTTCTTATTTCTTTCTTTCTTTCTTTCCTTTTTTTCTTTTGATTTGTCTTTTATTCTATGAAAAAAAATCTTAATGAATATAAATAAATTAATAAAAGATATAATTTGACCAAGAGTGTCTAAACTTTTGCGTGCAACGATAAAAATCTGCCAGTGGAAAGGATTTTTAATTCTGCTCTGTCCCAGATGTACATCCCCAAACATGTTCCAGAGAGCTAGGTTACTTTCCAGAATAGAATAAGGTCATGGCAAGTGAGATAGGAAGGAGAAGAATGGTAAATCCCTTTAGTTTAGTGGATTGATGTTTACTTAATTATGGACATAGTCCACAGGCCACTTCCATCAAAACAGCTTGCTTTGTTGCATTTGAATGGTGATCTTTGAAATTTTGATATATTACAAGACAGAAATTACTTAGTAAGCATCAATAGGCCTGAAATTAACAAAAGTAGCAGAATAGAAAGCTAACTTATATTGTCAGATTATGACTCCAACTGAGTCCATCACTACTGTAAAGGCTATTACAGTTGCTTCAGATGAGTGTTTTTCCTGCCACAACTAGAGAGGTCAGTGATTGAACCTAGAAAACCATTGATTTAATGGTTTATAAGCAATCCTTTATTTAATTGCTTATAGCAGGGTATTTCGTAGTACAGCCTTACAATACTTACCAAGAATATCTCCAACAATAATTTCATAAAAATATTTATACCTCATCTAAAAAAAATATTTTCTTCTTGCGGAACTTGATTCAAAATTATAGATAAACAAACATATATAAAGATGCCTCACTCCCTCCTAAATTAGGGAAGACTCTTGCTAATCAGTATTTGCAACAGAGATTTAAAGTTACTAAACTGGGGGATTAAAATGAATTTATCATGACCCTATAAATTCAAAACTGAATTTATCAGTGTTATATAGACCTAATAGTTGCTACTGCATGTCCCTGAAGTGAACAGCAAAATTTGCAAGTAGAAATTTCATACATATGTTAGAAATAAATACTGAAATGTTTAAAAAGTAGTTCACTTTCATTTCTTCAGCCAAAACATGAATGAGTGGTGTTCCATATTTTAAGACAGTCAGCCTATTTGGGCTATCTCATCTTTTCTTGCAGTAATTCACCTTGTTATTTTTGTCTCCAACTCCGTTCTCCTATAGGTCCAATTCTTATTTAGCATGCTACAATTTACTGATCTTACTTTTCACCTCTCCTATGAAAAGAATAAGGACATGACAGTAAGAAGCAGCAGCAACTAAGTGAAGTTGGATCTAAGAGGAGGAAGATGAGACTTTTTTTTGCATGCTCCTCTCACTATTGAATTCATACTTTCCCTTTGAGCCACATGACAAAAGCCAGAGCAATAAGAGGAGCACAGCAATAGGAACACAGCCTCCACTGTAGCACGAATGAGCTCCCAGTGATATCAACCCAATTTTGGTTCCTACATAATAACTGATATATCACTGAAATAAGCAACTATAAACCAATTTCTCTACTAAAAAGATGAACTCTGGAAGAATTGACATGAATACACAAAACATCCAATTAAAAATAAAATTTTTACCAGTTCTGCAAATTCTGCTGCCTCCAACTCACTCAGAGCTGCATCAATTTCTACCTAAAATGTGTTAGCAGAAAACAATTATATATAAGCATGACATTTGCTCCCAGTCTTCAAAAAGCTTCTCAGTACGGAACAATGTGCCACTGTATAAAACTGCACGTGTCAATCCAGAATAATGAACAAATTAAGTATCAACAAGGTCTTGGAAACTGCTATAAGCTGGATCAAGAGAAAAGTATACAGTAGTTACACACTCCTTTTATAGATGAAGCAAAAAGACTCAACTTTTTAAGCCTCAATGCAGTGCTTAATATATGACATGTCACTCTCACTCTAATGAATTACAATACGGCACAAAGTTCCCTTGAAATGTGGCACAGTACCCAAATGAGTTATTATAAAAATCTTTTTCACTCAGGATTTAGCTTTTGTTTCTATGGAAAACATGTTTCCAAAACATTCTCACACAATATCTTCATTCTGCCTAAGAAACATTAAACATGTACATTTCAGCATCTAGTTGGTTACATTTAATTTTACAAGAAATAACTTTTATTTATATAACCTAGTAAGGATCCTCCCAAATGTAAACTAAAAATGTTCTCCATTTTAAAGTTTGCCAGAAAGCAGAGGCACTCCCTGTAGAGTAGTCTAAGTGAGAAACAGTAGTTCTTAACCAATATTGCCAGAATTGTTAGCCACAGAGCTGGTGTTCAGATCATTCAGTTTCTCTGTTCTTTTCTATCTGCAATGGAAAATAAATGTCTGCCCTACAATGGGAAGTCACTTTTTCTTAATTTTAATTATAGATATATCCTACCATTTTAAAATAGAATAAGTCACTTTTCTGGCACGATCTACTGTTTTTTTAAAAACCAAATAACCAAACATTTGAAATGTCATACCACAACGCGTTCACTCAGAAAAGTATAAGGCCAGGAGAAGCTTTAAATAACATTTTAAAACTGTCCCACAGTCTTGAATGAATAGCGAAAACATCATCCGCTTCAAGAGTAGGATTTATATGCTAATTCCTATGTAGACATACATTTATACACACACACATTGCATTACAAAATTATAGGTTTAAAAACAAAGTTTTAAAAAATATTATAGGGTTCATGTATGGTTCTGTGAAAAAGCACCCTTTTTCTGATTTTTTGCATATCTTTGCCATTGAATGCTATCATAGTTTCATGCGGATTCTATATAAAAGGAGTCCAAGTAAACAAATAGCACCAACATTTGGTAGTTGTTTCATTTCTTTCATAAACGAAGTCATGCAACATGGGATGAGCCAGCATGAAAAAATAATTGCCCCTTTGAATCTGTAACTGATTAACTACTTTTAGCTGCAGTAACTGCAACCAAATACTCCCTCTAATCGGTGAGCAATTTCTCACATCACTATATGAAAATTCTGACCCATTCTTTCATAACAAATTGCTTTGACTCAGTAATATTTGGGGGTTTACTTGCATCAACTTATTCTTTCAGATCCTGCTACAACATTTCCATTGTGTTGTGACTTCGCTATTCCAAAACATGTATTTTGTTCTTCTTCATCCATTCTCTTGTAGACTTTCTTGAATGCTTGGGCACATTGCCTTGTTGCATGACCCACTGGCAGTTCAGCTTCAACTGACAGAGGTACTGATATTCTCCTGTGAATTTTCTGATAAAAAGCAGAATTCATGATTTCTTCAAAGATCGGAAATCATCTAGGTCCTGAGGCAGCAAAGCACCCCTAAACCATGACACCATCAGCTTCATGCTTGACAGCTAATATGAAGGTCTTATTGTGGAATGCAGTGCTTGCAAAACACAGCAATACCCATGTAGCCCCAACATTTTCAGTTTTGATTCATCTGTCCATAGGTCATTCCTCCAGAAATCTGGAGGGCCATCCAGGTGCTATTTGTCAAACTTGAGATTAACATTAATGTTCTTCTTAATGAGCAGTAGCTGCTGCCTTGTAACTGTCCCATGAATTACTATTAGGCAAGGCATGAACTTTGCACTTTACTCAGCTAAATATTCAGAACCTCAAACGTCTGAGCACATGCTACTTAGAGTTACAATTAAGCACTTGTGCTCCAGTATATCATGACTATCTGAATTTGCTATGGTAATCCATATATATGCTAGCTAGGCAGACTGAGGATAAAACAGTATTGAGTCAGAATATTTGGGCACACACATGAAAATATCTATGTGTATCTTGGCAACTTCAGCTACACTAATGTCCAATTTCTAAAAATATGTAGTCAGACTTACTTTAATATCTTGGGGCAGCAACAGCCATCGTACCCCTGGAAAGTTGTGGAAAAGTAATGAGCTGTTATTATCATAGTGGTTGGCATCTGAGTTGAGTCTGGTATGCTGAAGTGCTTGCTGGAAGAACAGGCTGAAGAAGTGATCCAATCGAGAAATGTTTCCTGCCTGACAAAAAGCACTGAACAAGCAAACCAAAAATTGAAACAAATGGGAAATATGCTAGCTCTTTGTATAACCTGTCTATCTAGCAGAAGATATTTTACAACTTGATACAGGAAGACAGTACCCGCTCACCAAAAAAGTGAGGGGTACTGGATGAGACAGTATGAAAAAGAAACAAAGGAAGGAAAATTCAGTTATAGATGTTTTAGAAATCAATACAAGTTATTTTAAACTTAGGTATTCTCCTATGTGAAATGCTTAAATTACTGCTGTTCTGGTAAAGGTACAATCTTTATAAGCAAGACAAATACAAGCTCTTCTATTGGATAATATTTCCTAATATGAGAAAATATACACGATTTTCAAGATGCCTCCACTTTTACGTCGTTCAGACTTCAGTTAGGGGCCATGGTACAAAGGGATCTATTCAACACATCAGTGAAATCTACTAAACCAAGCTGGGGGTTAGAAAAAGCTCTTGGTTGAGAAAAAGATTCTACATTCTACATACAGGTCAAAATGTGCAAGAGCAAACCCCTAGTCCTCTTACCCTTTGCATGAATACCTGATCTTTGCTTTTCAAACAACAGTTCCTTAAGTGGCATATTAAATCATTTCAGATTCTAAATGGAGCTTCTGAAGCAGTTTGAGATTCCTATGGGAAACTGATCTTTAAAGAATATATAGGGAAAAAACACTTGAACAAAGAAAATGCCTCTTTGACCACCTGCTTTATTATGAAACATTGGGAAAGTAAAACAAAGTATTTTATTTGGTATATACAGAGCTTAACCTTTATGCTGCTATTTAAAACAGAAGTACATTTTAGCAAACAAAGCTACACATTATGACATGAAAGTCTAAATAATTTGAACTGGATTTTCTCAAACAGTTTCCCATTCTGAATAGTAAATTACATATGAAACTGACAGAATCTTTAACTACAATTCAAAATTTGAAAATTGGATCTGTCCACCAAAATAAAATCCTATAAGTAAATTTTAAGCAATGGAATTTTGCAACCAAATCCAAGATGCAGTAGGCTTACTTACTATAGACAAGAACTGGAATGCTTACCTATCCAGGGAACTATACATGAATGTCAACATTCTGACAACATCTGCAATCATGTTCCTTAGCTGAGAGAGAGGTACACTAGAAAACCAGAATAATCCTTTAGAGAATTTCACTAACAAAATAAATGCATATAACAGGAGATGGGGAAAAAAAGTGTGCAAAGTCCAGGAAAAGCAAGCAATCCAGTGTCATTGAAAGCAAATGAAAAGGACTGGATTAATTCTGGGAGTTCTATATTTAAAATATTCTAATCCAATAATAACTTTGTTACACAATGTAAGAGACTGGCTATGTTTTATAACAACCATTTCAGAAAGATGGTATCTTAATTTTAGAAAATATTTATGAATAATTTTAGAGATCTATTTATCTAGCAACAAAGTTTAAAAAAGGAAAAATATGGAAATTTACCTTTCAGCCGGAAGGCCAATTATGAGCAACTTGTCAACCTTCTTCCAGTAAGCTACATGGATCAATTTCCCACATAAAAACATAGATGAACTATAAAATGTCAACAAAATAATCAAGGAAAAAATGGTCACGTAATCATATCATTACCAAAA